TTACTCTGCGTGCAATTCAGAAAGATGGTACGCATGGATCCCGTCGTATTCAAAGAGTCACTTTGTTTTGCTGCTCTCTTCCGTTTCGGTATCAGAATATAGGCTACGATTATTCGTCGCACAGCTATATGCGGGGAAACTACGAATATGTTAGGTTGCATCGTACGGCCAACATTGATGGATATTTTATAAATATAGTAAGAGTAAATATAGAGGTTACAGTCAAAGGAATTCCACCTTTTGCTTCGTATACTCATGAGATGAATGACATGATCTCCTGCAATCAGGAAAAGTTGTAGATCCAATTTTCAGCATTACTATACATCTGCTTATACGTATTTAAGTTACATTTTGTGACCACCAAGATAGTTTGGCTCCTGGGTCAAACAGAGCAAAGCTCTAAGATGGAGTAGAAGGAGGCGCGGTAACTTGGAACAGTACTAAGAAATAGAAGAGACGTATTAAGAGGCAAAGCAGCAAGTGCATTTTTTTAGTACAACTGAGGATGCTAGCTCCTTTTCATTTATACTATGTATTGCTCTTTTGTTTGAAATAATGATAAATTCAGACTATTTTTACACGGCGTTGCACTTAATAAAATACAAGGAAATAAACAAAACTGAATCCGACAGTGGTGAGTTCCCCAAACATCTTTAGTTCGATTTTAAGCAGTATTTTGTAAAATACTGATAAAACCAAGGTCATAATATTTGAAATGTGCTAAAAAAAGCTGCTAAAAATAATATTTTTGAATGAATGTATATTTGCAAAATCTCAATTACTGAGAACCTTTTATTTCCAGATACGGAAAGATTATGGTCCATATTACCATTTCACTAGGTACAAGTAAGTACGAAGCATTCTGTATAGTTTTAATAGTGAACAAAATCATACACACACCTACTTCATTTTTAAGAAGGCCTTTATTAGTCTCGCACATTATTTACTACTTCTCAAACATGGTACGTTATGTACTATTATGTGTTAAGGTGGCCTTCCATTGTCCACACGCCTTATATATATATATATATAAATCAGATAGAAAGTACTTAACAAGAATATTTAACAACATAAGTACCAAAAAGTAAGAAATAAATGAAAGCAAAAATGTAAAAACAATTTTTTTATTAGCTGCTAATAAAGGAAGAACAGAAAAGTTAAAAATAATTCTGTTCCGAAGTTACATATGGGCCACTTTAGGTCTATTTAATGGACCAGTCGACCGAGGCGGTACCACCCGCTAGCTTTTTCCGGATTATCTTAAGAATGTCTGTATGTTTCCACATCCACACCTAAGAGACGCAGTCGGTTATCTTCCCCAACAAAGAAATTAATGATAATGGATCCCCAAAGTACTAAGAATTCCGAACGTAAACTCACTCCACTCTTGAAATGTTCGGGTGGAAGGTGGACTCGAGGGAACAACATCGATGATAAAATTTGTTTCACAAACATCTGCAGTATTAACAGAAACATTTATGTTGTTCATCACTACTTGTGAAAGGACGTCCTGTGCCTTCTCCATATTTATTCGCTGACTTTATCGCTCTCACTCGGACCATAAGTGGGATGACCTACTTGAATACCTCGCTGTCAAGATCGACTTCCTGAACATTAATTACCCCGCTTCAGAGGTAATTCTCCTCGGTGATTTCAATGCCCATAATGAGCTTTCGTTGGACTCAAACAAGACTGATGCGGCAGGTTGTGCAATACCCAGGGACTGACCTACCTGGTGACGAGCCCTACTTTTTCCCCCGCGTTTCGTCACATGCCAGTAGCCTGCTGGATCTCTTTCCTGTCCACGCATCCTATCCCTTACAGCACTGCTGATATAAAAATTAGACACAGAGTGATATCGTAGCTCAATGGCAGTGGGTCTTTCTGGACTCTGGCCAGACAGATTGGAAGGAACTTCTCACAGAGTCGCCGATCACAACTTACGTGTCAAGATGAAACGACCGTAACCGACTCAAAGGCAACTCTACCATGGACGCCCCCTCCCTCCCCAACGACCGAGTGCTGTCGATTCAACGGGTTCCCTACACTATGCGGGGAAGTACCATTCAGATAAAACCGGAAGACAAAGCTTCTGGTCCGGACTTGACTCCTGGCGCTGTATTGAGGTGTGCAGCGGAGCTTGCTCCAGTTCTATCTCGTCTCCTAAAATATCTTACAAATCCGGCACCTTCCCAGAAAACTGGAAATTTGCTCATGACCACCCCATCCCAAACAAAAGGATCTAAGACCGACCCTCACAGCTACAGGCCTACAGCTTTGCTTTCTGTTATAAGTAAGGTGATGGAGAGGTGATAAATAGCGAGGTTCTGGACTACCTAGAACCTCACGGCTTGATTAGCGTCAGGCAGTATGGTTTCGAGCACAGGGAACCTCCTACCTTACGTCACGCAATTGTGGTGAGACTCATGTCGTTGCTCTTGAAAAGATGAAAGCGTTCGATCAGGTATGGCATGCTGCCTTCCTACGCAAACTTTCCTCCTATGCCGCAAGATATCCATCGTAACTGACGGATTCTCCTCTTCATCTCACAGCGTCAACTCTGGTGTTTCCCAGGAATCAGTTTTGGCTCCGAAACTGACCCTCTTACTTATTAACGACCTCATTTCCTGTACGATCAACCCAATCTAAAGCTTTGCTGATGACAGCACTCTGCATACAGGAATTCAGAGCGACAAGCCGATTTCCTCTCTGACGAGAGACCTGAAGGTTAGCCCTGCTTGGGGACGCAATAATCTTGTACAGTTTAATGTCTCCAAATCACAGTACTGACTTGATCTGGCACGAACACATCTTGTCAATAGCGGCAGCTGCTGCGTAAAAGCTAGGCTATTTGTTTAGGGCCACACTATACATGGCCCGGATAAGACCTAGCCTCGAGTATTCTCACACGTTTGGGGTGCTGCCGCCCCGACTAAATCATCTATGCTCGAAGCTGTCCAGACGAGGGCTATCCGACAGCTCGATAACTCTTCTCTAACAGACAGTCTCGGCACACTCTCTTCTACCGCTACACCAATGGACTTTACTCCTCAGAGCCTTCCTTCATCATACCGCCGCGCGATGCTCCTGCTAGACAGAATTGTCTGACTTCGATCTCACGTTCTAACCATGTCGAACTTCATACACACAGAACCGCCTTTTGTCGCGAAGGTGTCGAGATTGTGGACAATCTACAAGAGGAAGCAAAAAACGTATTAAATTTTTTTTTGGGATCCTCATAGCAGTCGCGGTTTCCTGGTATTTAGGCTTCTGCCTACGCGGCTGCTTCGGTGGAGAAAAAAGTCGTCGAATACCACAGTCACTATACCTTGTATGTCGACTGGCCTGCTAAAAGTACGTATGATTAGCATCAGTGTCTATGCCACCCTTTACGGGTAGCAGTAGAATCCGATAATATATAATACCAACCTCCGTTTCAGTTGCACATCCCACGACGTCCGGTATAGCAAAAGGTGATGGTATCGTGTGAGGTATATTGCAAAGCTACGCCATCAAGGTACTACCCGTCGTCGTTACTGGCTATCAGCCCAGCACTAAAAATTTGCATATATATTAGCAGAAGTACGAATAGCTAGAGAACAAGTTGCGAACCTAATTAATCACAATAGTCACAGATCTAATTATGTGGTAATTGCGAAGTAGAATTTAACATAAAATTTATTTGGGTAATTTTACTTAACAACCGCAGAAGATTATTTTAATTATCGAGCACCGTAATTAAAAATAATCAGTTTTATTTCGAACTTTGAATTTATTACAATATAATTAATATCAATCCGACCAAGTGGATATTATTAAGGCCCGAGGCTTTATAATTTTCAGGCGAAGAGGTGTGTCCGTCTCATATACATAACTTACAAACATAATAAATTTATAATAACGAAAAGTACGCGCCGTTTCAGAACGTATCATTAATTCGTAAGTATACGTTATCATGAGTGCTTGTTTTCAGGACTGAATGTTAATTAACATTTTCAGATTTAATTAGTAATTCCGCTTGATTCTCCTTTTGTGCAACTTCGAGTATGACAAACAATGATTAACGGCGATGAGCTGTATTCATTATACATTTGCGAAAAATTGAAAAGGGGTCGAAATCATCCAAATTAATACTTGACATTAAAGTATACCTATACTATGTACCCGTATATGTGACTGTTTGTGATCTTGATGAAGACAGCTTATATTTTATGCGCAAGCATATGTAAACGGGGTTTGATCAAAGAACTGAGTGGTCTGTCCTCACTATGCAAATCAAAACATGTCAGATAACGAAAGTTTTTGAAGGAATGAAAGATATACGTAACACCCCTGTACATTGAGTTTCTGAATCTGACAGCATTTTGGTAGTACGGCTGCTTCTTGCACACTTGGTTCCTGGAACGTCGGATTTAGGTCCAATTTGGATGCTTTGAACGTCCCACTGGGGTCATTCCAATCATCCCTCCTCGGAACGTCCTTGACAAAGCATTTTTGTGCTTTGTTCGCTCAACGTTGTCAGACTTACCATTTTGAAAGTTCTTTCTAGGTAACTTAAAGTAGCTTGGTTTGGTTGATTGTTTTGAAACTGCTTACGATGTAATTATAGTTTGTCACCTCTGAGCAGTGATGGGCGCATTGTATACATCATGTATAATACACCATTGTATACGCGTATACAATTATGAATATATACGTATCGATATTCACGTATACAGTGTATACAATAGCAAATCATAGTTCAACTACTTGCATACAGTTAAAAGTACGACTTGCTATTAATTTTCAGTAGTAGATAACATTTTTAAAACGTACATGAACATATTTTTGACCATAGGCCACTTCCCAGTGGTAATTTATGATAATGACCAGTTAAAATGATTTAGATTTTGTCTAGCAAGGAATGCAAGGAAATCTCAATTCTCAATATACGAGCGCAGGTCAATCAGTCCGTGACTTTTTTAATTAAACTTAGGTTCTTTGACTAAAAATCATTTTATTTCTCAATACACTTCGTCCAACGTTTCTTCAATTTGTTTATCCCTTCCGTTAAATAAGATTTATCGAGGTTCTCAAAATAGGTATTAATTTGTAAAATGATTACATCGTTGGAGTCACATCTCTTCCCGCCAAGCCAGTTCTTTAGGTTTGGAAACAAAATTAGTCCCTTTGCACACATTTGTGCACCCATGGATTATCTTGCTGGAAAATGTAGCATTTTTTCTTCAAATCGTCGTTGAATCCGCCCAATAAGTTGTTGTAACATTCGCCATTGGTTGTTGTTCCCTTTTGTAGGTAATCAAAGTCGATTCGCCCGTAGAAGACGACTGTTTTGACGCTGCATGGTCTCTGGTCTCCAAGGTTCGTCCACGGGTACGAAACAGTGCAAAATCTCGTCCCTATTGCGGTTGAACAGCTCCAAAGCACTCCTTCGAAGTTTTCGTTCAATTGTGTTTGTGAAAAAACTAAGCCATGTGATAGGTCCATGGCTTTTACAATCTCCCATACTGTCAATCTTCGACGGGCCAACACTATATCGTGAATTTTTTCAATTGTTTTGTGTGCAGCGACTAGCGACCTCAACTAGACGCCCAGACCGTTCGGTATCTCTCATTTTTGGTACTGAAATGTTTTATGTGTAAAGTTGATTAGAATTTTCTCTTGCAGCATGCAAACACCCAGAAGTTTAATTACTCTGCATGACGTGGAGACGCATAACTGGCTTAATACTGCCTTAATATTGTTTCATTTCTAATGGGAAAAATATAATGTTCCATACATACGACTCCAGAATAGTTATTATTACACATTCACATTTTTATCTTCCACTTCATAGACGTACGTCACTGACCGAGCCATTTCATTAGTTCCTGAAACGTCCAACGGCAACCTCTCTGGAACCGTTTCTTTTGCGACAAAATTGGTTCCAGGAACGTCCCTGATGGAACATCCAGCGACATTAGGCGACCTATAGGGAACGTCTTTGGAATATTTGTTCTATAATCATTTAAGCCGAAAGAACTTTGATAGACAAGGTTGTTGAGCCTTCTCATAATTGAAGAACAAATGAGGTAGACATATTTTAACATAAAATGGGTCAACATTCACATTAGACTAGTTTCGATCTCCTTTAATCTCCTGTTATGTGAAGGACTACCACTTGATAGGTATTTACGCTGTCTTCCAAATATTGTTCTTGTCAATAAAAAATTGTAAAGCAAGTACCAATATTCACACAAGTTCATACTTTTGTAGCTTAACCTCATTAGGCCCTCTTGATTTATCTTTTCCAGTTAATTAACATGGGTACAATTAGATCATAAAGGGCTTCTGAAATTTATTCTTGTAAAATATGTTGTACCCTGTAGAGACATTTGTTCGCAATATAATACTAGAGACATTATTATCTACTTTCTTTTCCTTTTCACAGCAGTTGGAGCTTCAGCGGGCTTCAAAGAGCTCAGCAAGTTCATTTTTGATTCTACTACAGTTTTCTGAAATAAGATACACCCAAATTATAATAACAATAACCTTTATTCTTGGAGTAAGTATCTTGCCATTTTGGCTCAAAGCGTTAAGCAGTAAATGAAATCACGATGTTTTGGAGAAAAGCTCTAGTAAGGTTACTACGTACTTTCATAATCTACGGAAATTTCATATGTCAATTCATGGGCAATACGGAATAAAAATCAGTAAAATGTAAACTACTCACCAAGGTTTCACTGCGTCTTACCAACAATTTAACGTCATCTGCTGTTATTGTGGATCGCTTGGCATGCCTAAAATAAAATACATTGCCAAATAGAAAATACATTATGAATTATATATACACATGTACTTTTGAAATGCATCCAAGTCACTACCATACAACACCAGTTTCTTATAGACAAGTTCTGCTATTATATCAAGAACATCTTGGTGGAACTCAACCTTGAGGTCGGCTGCTACTTCCTTAGATAGCTTCCTAGCTGTGTTGTAGATAGAGTGTTTCGTTTTCTGTAAGACAAAAAAACGTATCAATAGAATTTCTCAATCGCGGTCAAAAACGTTAGAGAAGATTATTTGATCATGCTAATAAAATATGTTCAATAAGAACTTTGCAGGAAATTGGAAGTTAGTAATAATTTAAGCTTCGAACTGACAGTCCCCTTTTGAGGTGAAATAAATAAAATAAATTGCACTTAGGTTGGTAAGAAGCACACAAAAAAATGTGATTTGTAATTTTTGAAAACTGAGGTTATTCATAAAACCTGTAAGCTGTCAGCTGATTAGCTTGTAAGCTAAAACGTGGGAGAAAACACAATTTAGTTAAGTATCAAAAGGCAGTTAATTTGAAGTTCAATTCTTCCTAACCGCAATTTCCCTGTGCATTCCGTCTTAATGGAAACATATCGTTTAATTACAAAAGTACCTTTATTAGAAGAAGGTAGATGTAAGCAACTTGATACAAAACAACAGAAGGCGCCAAAAGCTTTGAAAGAGTGAATGAAGAATCGAGTTGTTGAGTAAAGTTTTATATAAATATATGAAAGCATTTCTGTTATAGGGTCTAAATTGTACTGTCCAAAAGAACCATTTCAGAGGAACGAAAAGCTGCAAGTGAAAAATTACACGAGACCATTTACCATTTGATTTGGAAGCAGGTAAGTAGGTAATAAATCTTCATACTTTGTACACCAGATTGTTGGCAGTGGAATAATAAATTCGTATGTAGGGTGTCTCGCTATAAACTGGTTCGCTTTCAACTTTTTTGTGTGACCATTCAGCAAAAAATGCTCCATACAGTCCGATATAAAGTTTTACATACAATATTTTTTTATTCATGATATCTCAGAAAAATCAACGCATCCTGAGTTATTGTTACATTTTGCGACAGCAAGCGGTGGGAAAATGTAACAAATACCATTTCGCAATCCATACTGTCACTGCCTGCGTGTTCGCAGGTGCTAACAATTTCGAAGCAGGATGACACCCCCAATGAGCGGCAGATATGCACTGACCAAAATCGCTCATCTATGTATATGAACATGGAGGTGGAAGCCTTGCGTTAGATGCAGTGTTTCCAAGCCAACCAATGATGCAGTTTTGCCGAATTTGTGCCGATCCTGACCTTTTTTTTCGACCTATAATGAAGCACCGCCAGGACCAATCCTGAATCGATCCTGAACAGATTCGACACAATTCAAAAATGTGTACGTTCAAAATAAAATCATAATGTAGGCGAGGAGAATAAGCTAACACATATTTTCAACATGCATCTTAATTCAGAGAATTGGTGTATCATATTGACAATGCGGACGACAGCCGCGTCAGCGTTGCTAGACAACGCGATGACGAGCTTCGCTATCGAGCCGACCGCTAACTCTTTCTAACATAATATGGGTCCATACCCACTTCACTCTCGTACACATTGAACTGCAGCAGTCAGACAAATTGGGTTCTCAGCGTAGAGTAGATACATATGATTAAACAACACAATTAAATGACATTTAATTTGAAGTTTGACTAAAAATGTAATGAAAATGAGAATAATAAAACGTACATATTTGGAAACAGAAGTAAAGCCACTATCATTTACACTAAAACATACATTAAAAAAAAACTTTATTCGACTGCACTTTTCTGAGACACGCTGAATATAAAATAGACATTGCCTGAAATACTTCATATGTTCAACCCCACAACTTTTGTATATAACTATTCTTTCTAAAATGTATGTAAAAATATCAAATTCGCTTAATCGATATGTGTGTGATTTGAAAAGGGAAATGAGATGTTACCTGCACATTGGACATTATACTGCACAAAATCTTATATCAAATAAACTTGTTGTGCACTCAGACCACACATTTGTTAGAGGTTAAGGGATACAAACAAGTGCTTTCCCGCCAACCCGCCTCTGAACAACATTTATATGGTATTAGGACAATGTACGCCATCTATCGCTACTGAGTTAAAGTACAATCGTTACTCGAGACTGGATGCTATCAATACACCGCCATACCGAATTTCTCTCACGATTCCTATTGCAGATGGTGTATGAAACGGTTAAAATCAATGAAAGGAGGAGAAGGAATTTTACCAGGCTGTCCATAATATAAACTATTTCTCATAGATGGTGCAACCTACCGTGTTCAAAGCTCTATTCAAAGTTTTGAAGATTAAAGGTAATTAGTTTCGAAATTACTGAGATGGAGTATATACAAGAATTATGCGTTTCCCTAGTCATAGTCGACACGTTGACCACTATATTACCTTCCACAATCCATACCAGGGGTGTTGCTGTTGCTAATTTTTTGACATCCGTAGATGCAGATACGGATGTGGATCATAGTAGGTATTGTAACTCGAGAAGACATGCTCACCTGGTGAACGAATTTCGTAGGCACCTAGGCTTTTGCGCATAACCGTCACTCGGTGACAAATGTTCCGCTTGTCGGTACGAAATACATTGTATTAGAGAGTTTTCTTTGCAATATTTAGAATAATATTTTTCTGTGTTTTCAATTTAACATGATGAATTTAGTATTTTATAGAAGTGCCTATAGAATGTTTTATTTATATTTTGGTCTTTTTACAATGTAATTTAATGAAGTATATCACTATAGATAAAAAGACATTATAAAATCACCACTTTTGGGATATTAACAATATGACAAGATGAACGGTTCTAAATAACTTCAGACATAATCACTGAAAATGCGCTTGCATCTTTTCAAACAAAGGCATTTATTTTTTTATTATGAAGGGTTTATTGGTTTCAATCATCAATGATTTAGTAATAATTTGTTATATCAACTTTTTTTACATAAAGAGGGTGGAGAATAAGGCGCAATATATATGACAACTTTATGATTCTGTCCAAAATACGTGTAAATGTTTTTTTAATTTTTATTATGGGTAGGTATATTGTACTAATAAACAGTTTTATTGAGTTTGTTTTAAGATTTTCATCATTTTCCTCTTCTCAATTTAACAACCGAGGTTTAAAATATATTTCACATCTAAAACAAAGATGCTTGGCATCTGCACTCCATTAACGATTTTAAATAGGTATATTTTAGTCAATTCTAATGACCCTGCGTTGTCGAAAATATGGTCGAGATTAATACATATGATTAGGAATTATTAACTTTGTGTTGCTGCTGACGCTTCCAAACAAATTGTTCGCAAACTTGTTTGCTCTTTGAAAAACTGAAGAAAAGCCTTTGTACAGTTCACCATAGTCGAATGTTTCAATGTTTTTCAATTATACTTTGACCAGATCCTTATTGAAACGCTGGATGTCACGCGTGCGAAAGAGATAGAATGATCGCGTGCATCTCGAGCAATAATTATGATGGACATGGATGCAGGATTTTTAAAGCTCAGATGGGTGGATTAGAGTACGGATACAAGCATTAACATTTGAAAAAACTTCGTAGGTTCGATGCGATTTACAATAATAAACAAATCGGTGTTTCTGAATTCCCCTCAAAATAATTCATAGTTCAAGTTGAAAACCACATTCAAAAGATTTCCAGGGTTGCCTAGGAGTACCTGCTCCGTAAGGATAAGCACAAAATCAAGTGGTAGTAATAGTATCTCTACGCGTGTACTCTAAGTGTCTGTAACTAAATTACATATCCGCTTGCTGTTCTCAACATTTCTATCTATCAGGGCGTGTTTCCTAAGCAGCTCTTGCAGTTAGCTATAGTTATAGCCGTGTTCAAGAAAGGCGATCCTCAGCTAATCGACCACTACCGAACAATCTCTATTCTATCTGCTATTTCTACAATTTTTGAGAAAATATGCACACTAGAATAACCAGTTTTGCAGACTATTTTCTAATTTACTAAGTAATTCCCACCATGGCTTGAGAAAGTCCAGATCTGTAGAGACGGCGGTATTTGAATTTGTCAGCCATATCTACAAAGAGCTAGACCACAGCAAATATGTAGCAGGTATATTTTTTGATTTATCAAAAGCCTTCGATATTCGGGCACTTATTTATTTATTTAACAAATTAGGGACATCAAACAGGGAAAGTCTCCAAAATAGACATCCACAGTGAAGTTAATCAAACCAAATTATAAGGATTGCTGTTCATAACCTACACATCTGAAATATATATATATATATATATATATATTCATTTTAGTAAAGAAAAAAATTATTACAAAGAATGGGAACGTAGCTCACAAGGGAATGTCCTACAATCTGTTTCTTATCAAGTATTTAAACTTCATCATTTCACAAGGAAAAGTATCAGCAAATTTTCCATGGTTGTTCAGATTTCTTTGCGTTCGTATCAGTGGAGAGTTTAAACCGATATTAGTTCTACAAAGGGAATATTGAAGTATGTACAGTGCCTCTTATCGGTACATTTAGAATTATTTTCGATGAAAGGTAAAAACAGCCAATTTGATTGTTCAAGATTCTGTGTAAAAAACATAAATCAGATAATATCCTTCTCCATGCCAGAGGTAAGATTTTGAAATGTTTCATTACCAAGCTTTAATAGTGATTACGGGCAATGATACCCTCCTTGTAAGCCAGAATTCGCAAGAACTTATGTTCTACAGACTCAATTCTCCTTAAGTGTACTTCGTACTGTGGGTTCCAAATAATACACGCGAAAGAGATATTACTATGCATGGACGCATAATATAGTGATAACAGGGTAGAAGGGTTGTTGAAGCAGAGTGTCTCGACATCCTCTATCTGATGATACGCATACTGAAATAGGTTCCTTTTTTTATTGAAAAACATTTTTAGTATTAAGTGACAGGTCGTTTCTCTGACAATAATCGCTGAATTTGTCGATATCGGATTGATGCAGTCTTGAAGGCTTTCAACTATACGATACATCTTTAGCTCATCTGCGTAAAGAAGAAAGTGGCAATGGCTAAAAGATTGTGCGATATGATTTATATAGATTAAGAAGAATAATGGACCTAAGTGGCTACCCTGAGGAACTACCGATAAGGGAATAACGACTCAGAAGTTATACCCCATTATACACGCGAAAAATGGTCTACAAATTCTTTATAGATGTTTTGATGAATATTGGTGGTATATTGTCAATTCCAGCAGATTGTTCATATTCAAAGTGTCAATAATTTCAGTTACTTGCTTTTCACGGATTTTTTTTTATAATCAGTATTCAGCGTAAGCTCCTAAGTCATTATACAATTTGAATTTCTTGTGATATGTTTTCTTCCTATCTATAGCTTTGATAGTTTCTTGCTCAAAGTAAATGGGATAGCTGCGCTTGATTTTATATTTAGGTACATTCGCTTCAACTACATCTTTGAGCTTGAAATTTCAACCATTCAATGTACATCTGAGTAATGCAGAAGCAGTTCATCCCAATTGATATTCGACAGCATATTATTAATATCCATATATTTAGCTTTTTGGAAGTCATGAATAGTCAAATTTGTTTTGGACAAAGGCAGTAAAAACTTCGTAGACAAATTCCAATGAAGGATGATAATTTTCAATTTTCTGGTACCAAAGGGCTTACGCAATGGACTAAGTTTGATTGCTGTGATTCAATACATGATTCAACTGCATCATTTCGAGATATGAAAAGATATCTATAAGATCAGAATGTAGGTTATCAACTTGTGACGGTTCCAAAAAATTATCACGATCTACGGGTTTCCAAACTACGTCTGGAAGGTTGAAATAAGTATTCTAGTCGGAGCTGAGCGAATGTTCGATATTGTTGAAATTATCTACAAATCTGCGAGCCTCATGATCTCTTATAGGGAGATATGCAACACAAATCAAAATTTGTTATAATGTTCAAAATATGACTTTGGGTGATGGTAATATTTATATAAATAAGTATATTAAATAGAACCCCATCCATAAATTATTTGTATCAGACTTTTATTATGAAAATAAACATTTATACAAACATATATTGGTAAAATGATTTTTCGCTTCTCTCAAAAATTAGATGATTTACACCGTATATCTATGAATACCTAAAAATGTATCTAAAACAAAACAGTACTAAAAATAATAAATACATACGACGTACAGTCATTCACATTACTATTAAAGCTTAACTTTGAGCTGCTGAGTATAGAACCAGCTTCGGAATGGTAAGTGCGCAGTGTTTTTATGAAAAGATACAAAACTCGACCATAGTAAGTATGCGTCCATACTGAATAGGCGGTGACTGGGACCTAAGGCGGGCGCGGCGAGCGGCGGCGTGTGGTGCCCACAGAGACACGCGACCTCTTCTGCTGGTTGGACGTATTATCAGACGTCCCAAACTATAAACGGCGATTTGGTATTTTTACTAGACAGTCAGATCCTGAGATGTGAGGTGTTGAACATCCGAGATGGTGTGCACGAAATGAATAAAAACAGAGAAACAACTGTTGAATTTTTTCATTTGTATGAAGTATTGAGATTATAGCCTACCAAATTTTTTGAGTACACTCGAATGTCCGTTTGACTACATCCTAAGTAAAATATCTGTGCTGCGGATGTTCACTTTGGCAAATAGGTGGTTTAGTTTAAATTGCACTTATAAACAATTCAGTATCCGCCATTACAATTTTCTACTCATGCATACGCCGAGCGACAAGACCGAACTGGTTTGTTACCGCCGCAACCCCGCGTTAGGTCGCTTGCTGATTAGGCCCGTAGTGTGGCCAGAAATCGCGGAACAGGAACGTTTGAAAACTACGCGCGCTTTTTCGCTGGGTCCCTCCGCCCAAGGCTTCCGCCTCAGTCACTACACTATGGACGCAAAGGCGCGTTTCATAATGTTTGATATTTCGCGCCCGTCATCGCTACTGCGCTAGGCTCGCAATATGGATGCACATACTAAGTAGAGCTCACTACAGTATCACTTTTTAATATATGTCATAAGCGTCTAGAATAAAAAAATGTGTTACAGGAGAGGTGTTGCTCTCACTTTCTGGCAACTGATTTATAAATGGCACAACAAAGCTTCAAGCAAAGTATGAGGTCTAAGGAAGACATAATGACATAATTGCGTACGCTACCACTAATTGGTTAAATTTGCCATACTTAACAGTTCAGTTTCACATTGTTTTAGCTCTATTTTGCTGAACAAACTTGCTAACACATTTCTGAATTTGCTTTCTTATATCACATGTTTGTTGTACCATAACCAAAAATATAAATCACAACGAAATCACCACGGCCTCCACATATCACCATTATCGGTACTACTTCCTTCTTTGGAACATGAAGGTCCTTCAATTTTATAACCTTCTTTCGCTGTCATTACTTTACCAGTCTCTTGTATGACACTCACAGGAGTGACCATGTGTGTCTTGATCATCTTCTGAGGTTGAGCTATGGATAGAAGACCTGGCTCCTCAGAATATTTTCTTTTGATTCCTTGTATCACAGCATTCTCCTCATAATGAGCAGAGTCGTCTTTCATTTGAGCTTGTCGGTACCTTTCTGACTGATTGGTGATGACACCAAGTGGTTCTGGATGCTTCTTTGGAGAAACTAGCTTCTTCTGCATCGGGAACTTCAGTGTCTTCAGCTCCAATGGTTGACTGAATCCGTGTTCTAACGTCATGGTGGAAGATACTTGAGGCACTTGGTGATCGTCACCAAATTTCCTCTTTGAAGGTAGTACCGGTCTGAAACCATGTGGCGAGGGGTTTCGAGTTTTCAGTTCTTCTCTACCAAGCGGACTAACTGGAGGACTGGTTGACTTGCTTTCGGTTGAAGGTATCACAGCAGCAAAGGCACTTGGTCTTTGTACGGTGGGGAAGTATGGAAGATTACTGGAGTTCGGGACAAGCAATGCTAGTTCACCACTTGGTAGCCTGCTTGGGATAAGTTGTATTCCTTGTGGTATCTGGATTCTAGGATTATTATTCTGGTCCCCCGTAGAACTACTTTCTGATGCGGAAGATACACCAGCATATATCCCATTTCCTGATAGAAACCCTAGGCCTGGAATATTTAGCTGGGCGACGTGTTCTATGCCCCCAATGCATTTTAGAAGATGGCTGTTGACTCTTTGTTTCATCACAGGTTCCACACCGTCCATCTGTCCAAGGTATCTGTCGATTTCTGTAGCACATTCGTTAAAGCCGTTTTTGAACTTCCTCAAAACGGTAGGGTCGGTTGCTATGCCCATAGCCAGCTGTTGCCTTTGGACGTTCTGGAGGTGCTTTACAGCCATTTCCAGGATGTCGGCTTTCTCCAGTTTCGAGTGACGAGAAGGCTGAAAAAGAAATAGCGGTCAACACAAAATTCCAAAGGACTGAAAGTATTCACTTGTTATACACAAACCGGCTACATTGTCTTCTGCTGTCGTCACTATAGATAAAAGGAAGTAAATTTACTAAAATCTTAATTTCACGTGGTTAGGTTTTCTTACTGGAATGATTATAAGATGGTCAAAATCGACCTCAGAAAAGAAATACTCTATAGTCGGCTACCAAAATGGCAGAGAATAGCAAAATGAATCGTATCCTGACGTTAACATGGAGTGTCTTAGAGTATGTGTAGGCCTGCGCACACATATGCAAGGACATAGGTACCATCGTAGCAATGGTGCCACTCTCTTCCATCTTAGTACCAAAGTATAGTCTCCTTTACTACATGATTTTACTTGGAATAGAACTGGTGTTTGTACGTGGAGTTCTGGTTTTCCAAAACGTTGATACTTACATCCTTGTTCATTGCTTCTAGAATTAGGTTTTTGATCTCGTTTAGACAATGGTTGATCCTAGCTCGCCTCCTCTTCTCCATAATAGGTTTGTGGGTCTTCCTCAGCTCAGCTTTTGACATCGTGGTCTGAGGTTCCTGAGACTTACATTCGAATTCGTCTTCGCTGGTCAGTGACATTTTCCAACAAGAATCCAGTTAGACTATACCAAATAGTCTTTGAACTCTCTTGCAGGTACTTGTCTGGAAAAGAATCGTAGCTGTAATACTCTATGACAAACATTTTTCTAAATTATATCCTTAAAAACAATTGGTTGGAGCTTAAGTTAAAGTCGTTGGAATTTTACCTTTTCTTTATCCTTCTTTGAATACCTAAATATTTGTTTTCTAAATCTCTTCCGATAACGTTGTTTGACATGTCATTGGTAGTACTTATGTGATTTTGTCTATAAATAAAGGATCACGTTATTTTTGTTACGTCAGACGAAATAGATGCGCAGTAATTTTACAAAGCAAGATTTTTAAGCTTAGATATTGATGAAACTTTCACACAATGTCACTATGATGCCTGTACTTTTTGAAATTCGCTCCAATAGCTGCGGCGCTGGAAGGGTCTATCTCAGTTTTTTGGCGGTAGTATATTTATATGCTTCCAAACCCGGTAATTTGGCGTTAAAACTTAGAATGATGGACAAATATGTTCGATACGCGTCTCGTCCTGGGTTGACCGGAACCGCAGTCTCCCCTATAAGTGTCATTCCGTCACTGAGCCGCTCCCGAATGGATTCTCAGAGCGGTTAAGTATGGGCGGACGAGCGACGTTGTCAGATGGGCGGTACTATGATAAGGCAGGGAAAAGATATTTATGGACTAATTGCGTGGGTCTGTTTGACTGACTTGATCCGTTTACATGTTCGTAGCTAATTTCAACGTGTGCCGAACATAATCCTTTATGAACTGATGACAGCGTTGCGTGGGAAGTGCAGAGTCAACATACTTGACGTCATTTTTTGCGGTCTTTAATGCGACCACTTGACTTGATTTACAAGCTACTTGACCTGAAATCAAGTCAAGCTCAAGTCATCCATTTTAGATATTAGAATCTGATATCAGTTAGTTTTTACGCCTATCTGTCAGGTATTTAAAAATTCAAGTAGCCTTGATATTACTTGATAATTTTTGTAATCTATTAAATTAATTAAACATAATGGAAGTGACCGATGATCCAATTTTGAGCCACACTATTATAATGTAAAACAAGAATCTAGCTTTCCATCAAGTATCAGGTAGTTTGAAAATGCCTTACCTCAAATCAGAAATGATGTCAAATCAAGCATTAACGTTTCAAGTAAATTTATTTAAAAGTCATGTCAAGTAATTTATGAAAATATCAAACTACTCGACTTGTTGAATCGCTAGTCATTATTTTTGCCTATGGAGTTTTCGGAGTTATTAATGATAGAATATAAATTCTTTTATAAAAAATCATTTAAGGGCTCAATCAACGAAGGTTTATAAGTTTGGATCCAGCTTTCTTGACACGCGCAGTCTCCAGTGCAACACTGTCATTTATATTAGTAGTGTTGAATTGACAATTCAAACGCGTGATGCCACTTTACACTTAGCGGCTTCCGTTCTCCAAATGAGTGACCATTGACACCTCCCGTCCCCCATCCTAGGAAATTATGTGGCAATGCCGGTATTCATAATAATTTTTGTTTTTGTTAATAAGATAATAAGATCCAAATGTATTTATTCAGCAAATCCCTTAAACAGAATTTTCAAAAACCAATAAAAATTCAAATTGCAGTTTAATTACTTTGAAAGTAGCGTGTTACTTCACAGATATTTTATGAGACAAACATGTCTACTTGTCTACTATCTAACCGAAATGTGAATCGTCAAGGTCGATAAAGAAAAAATAATTACTTTTTGACTTACTTTTGTATCAAACGATGATGCAAATGGAGAAGAATGTTGGCTGGTATATCCAAAAACTGACACAACACAAACACCAAACGTTCAAGTCTTTAGAAAAGATCTACTATGCAGTACTACCGAGTACAACCTCCGGTTTTTTTACCATGGAGGCTCACCATTTCCGTCGTACCTGCGTGTGCGAGCAAGTCAGTGGTTTTTGATGGAATGATCCTCCATTTCGGAAAACCTTCGTAAAATTCCAATGCAGCGTGGGAATTCGTCCTTTTTACCCCCACCACAACAGCTCAGTGGATGGTCAGAGGGTGCCCACGGTTCCCGAACTTCTTGTCGCAGTGCCGGTTGCAAGTGCCATAGGCGTGTGTTACCATGGGTCGTAGGGTAAGGGTAGGGGTATATCTGTCTGTCCTGATGGGGTAATAAATGCCAGTTCAATATCGCTTTTGCTATTGAGATACGAAGGGCCTTTGCTCGGGATAGTAAATCATTTGCGATCATGTAATCATGAAATGGCATTTGTAACTAAAATATGACGCCAAGTGGAGAAATAGCAGTAACAAATAATTATTCCAGATTTCGCTTCCCTCAACTAAAATTTTACATCGAAGGATGAAACGACAGATTGAGGCATTACTGATACCAGAAGTAGCAGTGGTGTCGTCTTTGTGCAAAGGAAGAGCATATTTTCAAGAAAGCAAATTATTATATCATTATAAAAGTATGTAGGTGGTCCCAAGATTTTTTCAAACAAGGTACGGATACACAGTGCTTCTCAAACCCATTCCCCAACATATGATTTTAGCGTAAAGGTAAAGATTGAAGATTTCAAGGCGCCATCTTAGAGCATTTCTTCAAATAGGATGTAGGATCATGTGGAACCTCAATTTGAAGCTCCTTATGAGTACTTAATAACCGTAGAATAAAAAATCGCTAATTTTTTAAATGGTAGATTGGTGTACAGTGTTTTTGTACGTTAAATCGCTTATAATTCAGCAATCAGTTTCAAATATTCTATAATATGTTATATCAAACTTCTACTTTTACGAAGATCTATCAAAATATGTAACAAAATGTGAAACAATCCATTTAATAGAAATCAAAATGTGACAGCTTTTAAACAGAATATCTCATACCTTATTGCACATCCAGACAGGGTATTTGGAAAGGGGACAACTCATATCACGTGCATAACGTTTTCATGATTAGTTTTTAAGCTAATGAACGGTTTAATTAACAAGAACGCCCAACAGCTTGTAGCCTGCCTTCTCAACAGACAGTAAGCTTATAGCCTAGTTCTATTAAGGAGCTTCACGTTTGCCCTAAAGATTCATGCAACACAAAAAATAGGATTAGGACATATTCATACTTCTGGGCTGCGTTCGTAAATTGTTACACAGTGTACGTTGTACATACATGTTGTACTTGTTCCATGTGTTCGGAAATAGAACATAGTAACTTTCTGAAACCTCAAAGGGGCTCTTTTCTTCCCGTGCCCAAAGCTTTGGGAACAAGGGTGTCACTTGTCATTCTCATGGTTCTTTCTTTGTTTAGTTTATTTCGTTATCAAAAAGTGCTCAAAATTGGCAGAACATATATTTTTCACAATAAATGGGATGCCTCGTATATACAGGGTTATCCAAATTAAGTGTCCACCATTAGTAACTTTGTTATTAGTGAAAATACAAAGTTGTTTGAATTAGCAAGCTAGTAGCATTTTTAACGCTGGTAAAAATGAGAAATAAAAAAAACAATTGAGAGTCGTTATTTTGATTTTTTTCAGTAAAATAACATTTTTTTAAATGGAAACCCCTGTATATTATATTTTTTTCTGTTAAAGCATCAAATTTTAAACAAAAAAGTTCATAATGACTTTTCTCCTAGGTTACAAATTGTTGAAGTTATGGCCTCCAATCTGAAACAATTAAATTGTATCGACAAACTTTATTTTCAACATCAACTTATAATCTTACAAAATACAATAACAATTTTTTTTAAAGAAGATGCTCGACAACACCACCTTGTTCTTCAATACATTTTTGGGCACGTTTTTTAACTGCTCGAACTGTCTTAAGTATGGTCCTACCATCTATCTGGGTTATCTTTTCCCTAACTGCAGTCTTTAACGCGTCAAGGTTATCGTACCTTCGCTTGTAAATTTGGTTCTTTAAGTAACCCCACAAGAAGTAATCAAGTGGGTTTAGATCTGGTGATCTGGAAGGCCACTGTATTGGGCCATTTGTTCCACTGATCATTAAAAGTAGTACTTAGAAAATGATAAGTACCTCTGGAGTTGTGGGCAGGTGCGCCATCTTGCTGAAAATACAGATGATGTCTACTTATAAGATCCAATTCGTCTAAGAAATTAGTCAGAATTTCTGACATAAATTCCACATATCTTTCACCAGTTAGGGTTCCCTCATAAAAGAACGGGCCAACAATTTTGAACCAATTATACCGCACCAAACGTTGAAACTGAAACGGACTTGTGGGCCTCTTGGATGTACTAACAAAAGATTTTCTCTTGACCAATAATGGTGGTTTTTCTATTAAACATTCCAGAATTTGAAAAATTTGATTCATCTGTCCATAAAAGGTAACGAAAGTTATTTACATTTTGGCGACAGAAGCTAAGATACCAATGGCAAAAAACAAGTCTTCTCTCTGGATCCCCTGCCAAAAGCGTTTGAACTGGTCGGTACTTATACGGAATAAATTTGTATTTTTTTAAAATCCTTTGAACAGTACCATAACTGAAATTAGAGTCCTTGAGAATATCTGCTATTGAATTCTCACGATAAGCTTCAAAATATCCAATAACTGCAATTTCCGTGGCCTCGCTTATTATGAATTCTTTTTTTGCCCTTGTTTTAGCAAAAACATTTTCGTTGCCCCTAAATTTTCGATAAAGTCTCAGAAAATATCGTTCATACGGTTGAATGCGAGCGGGATATAATTCACTGTAGTATTCTCTTGCTCTCAAGGAGGATTTTCTGCACACTAAATAGCATTCTAACATATCACACTTTTCTTCATGGGAGAACATTTTTCTTTAAATTAATGACACAATAAATCTTATAAACAAGTATTTACACTAATGTTTGACATTATTTGATTTTATCATTGTTTTCCAAAGCCTTCTAGTTGCGAGTATGTCCAGTTTAACAATTTGTCGCTTATCTTAATGCTGTCAAATCGCGAACGCCATGTTGTTTTCATAGCCGTCTTAATATTATAATACTGCAAGTAATTAAAAATATTTATCGTTATTTTGACTTTATTTTTGACTTTAGCGGAAAAGTCATTATGAACTTTTTTGTTTAAAATTTGATGCTTTAACAGAAAAAAATATAATATACAGGGGTTTCCATTTAAAAAAATGTTATTTTACTGAAAAAAATCAAAATAACGACTCTCAATTGTTTTTTTTTATTTCTCATTTTTACCAGCGTTAAAAATGCTACTAGTTTGCTAATTTAAACAACTTTGTATTTTTACTAATAACAAAGTTACCAATGGTGGACACTTAATTTGGATAACCCTGTATAGCGTTTCGTCTAATAAATACAGTGGTCGCAGAAAACGTTCATAGAAACTAGTTGGCTGTCATAAAGTGTTATCACATGACTCTGCAATGAATTAGGCGTTCTAAATATAAAGCTTCACAGTATTCCAGAGTAAAATTTCATCTGTCTATCTACATTTCATTACTGTGTACGGTTTTACATTACCAAGTGAATTACAAACGCACCCCTGACCCGCGTTGTCTGGTACGAAGAGGTTAAAGATATTTCATTGATCACATTTTCATTTTGAACCTATGATAGTTTTGAAGATGATCCCATAACTACGATTTTTACTCGAGAAGAATATTAGCAATTTTTAGAGAATTGGATACTACCTTATCAAGTCACTTGGAGAATTGAGCCTGTATATACATATAAAAAATCCTATGTAAAAGAAAAAACTGCTCGTTCATTGTTAACAACTCGTATAATGCATGATGCAGTCAATAGTCAACCTTTAAATGAGAGCTCAAGAGATTTTCGTATTTTTACGATGAGTCCACCACTCCACCCGCACTTGGTTGAACCTGTACCCGCCTCTGACTGGCGCAGCACTACGCGCATCATATCAGAAGTACCATTAACAGTTATTTCCCATGTCTCACTCTATTCACCTCTATCGTGGGAAACAAATGCCGACACACACCACGCAGGGCACACGGAGATATTTCACATGACTGGTACGGCTACCCCCACCATTATCGCGGACGTCGTTCGCGCGTCAGACGGGGACAAAGAAGCAAGGGCGTACTTACAAGGGTCAGCTGACGTGTGGCATGGCAATTTATAAAATAACTAGCTTCCTACCCGCGGCCTCACACACATAGGTTTCGGTTTATAAAATTTATATATTTGTTATATATCTTTCTCTGCATGATAATTTTCTCTTTATATACAGGGTTATTACAAAAGAATCATCGGGTTTTAAAAATTTATATTTCAGAGAGTGCAAATATAATATCAAATGACATATCACTAGAAAAGGAAAATGTTCGAGTTTAAAGCACGTGCTTGCGAACGCCGCTTTATCTCCCTAGGTAGCGCCACGGGCTCAGTATACAAAATGGCGACTATGCAGCAGAAAGCGTTTTGTGTGTAAGAATACGCGCGATGTTTATCGGTTGTTACAGTGCAACGTGCATTCCGACAGCGGTATGGAACTGATTCTCCAGGTCATCAGAGCATTCTACGATGGTATCGACAACTCAAGAAGACAGGTTTCATTCCTAAACGTAAAAGTACCGGAAGACCACGAGTTCCTGACGAAATGGTGGATGCAGTTAGACACAGTTTCACGCGTTCTCCGCGAAAGTCCACTAGCAGAGCAGGAAGTGAACTTAGTATTCCACAGCCAACCTTATGGAACAGATGCTACAAAGCTTACGACCTGACGACCACGTAAAGCGACTTGATTATTCTTCTAAAATGCAGGAGGAAATGGAAGACGACGAATTTGCTAACTGTCTGGTATTCAGCGACGAAGCGACATTTCATTTAAGTGGAAGGGTGAACCGTCATAACATTCGGATACGGGGCACGGAAAATCCTCATATGATTGTGCAACCTGAAAGGGATTCTCCAAAATTGAATGTCTTCTGTGCAATCGGTATCCAAAAATAAAGTGTACGGGCCTTTTTCTTTCATGAAAACACTGTGAACGGTTCATCCTACCTAGATATGTTGCATTTGTGGTTATTTCCGCAACTAACAGAAGATTGTAACAACTTCATATTCCAACAAGATGGAGCTCCGCCTCACTGGCATCATAAGGTGCGTCGGAGTTTAAACGAGGCACTGCCTCACCGTTGGATTGGCCGAGGTACTGCACAAGATTTGGTATTGTTCGCGTGGCCTCCCAGGTCTCCCGACCTTACACCATGCGATTTTTACCTTTGGGGTTACATTAAAGATATGGTGGTTTACATAATACCTCTGCCAACAACATTGGGTCAACTTCGGGAACGCATTACTACTGTTATTAACAATATCGATCGAGACACATTGCAGCGTGTATGGGCCGAACTGGACTATCGTTTGGACATATATGTCGTGTGACGCAAGGAGCCCACACCGAACATTTGTAATAACATGCTTAAAATCTTGAATATTTTACCTTTCCATTGTCATGTCACTTACTGTTATATCTGTAATACCTTCTGAAATATATATTTTTAAAACCCGACGATTCTTTTGTAATAACCCTGTATATAGGCGTATTCCTGTAGGATGTGTATTGTCTACTGACATTGAGAAAATCGTCTCAAATGAATGCTGATCACACAGTAAAGCAAATAATATTTTACGTCACGCTTTATTAGTCTCTTTTTTAAGAGCGTGGAAAGAAAGAGACTACTAAGTGTCAGTGCGAGAAAATCTTCTAGAATCTAGGTCATCGCTTCTTGATTTTTATTGTGAATGTATATTTTTCACGCTCTTGGTTGTCATCCGTCCAAAAATACCAAATCATATTAGCTTGTGTTGCTGAGTATTTGTCCCTTTTAATGACAAATCTGGTTTATGAAGAAATTCACTGCAAAATTGCAAGTGTTCACAATCATCGATTTAGGCTCTGCGATGATCTGTCAGTCGATAGTATGTAGTGATATAAATTTCACACCTTTAGAGTATGCATATTTGTACGGAGGCTTCAGTAAATCCACTGAAATTATAAAGAGTTTAATTGAACTTCCAACGCTCTGTTTCACCCTTTTACGTCTCACGTTCAGCTATGCATATGGATTTCAAAAAGTGTTTTGTGCCTTGTATACGAGTCTTACCTTGGTAAGCCCTCGTTGGTGCACGTTTCTTTTTGGCTATAATTCCATGCATATGTCACGACTCTTTATACTTTTGATTTTGGTATTCTCTTCTCCTTGATCTTTTTTTGTACGTACTTGTATTTGTTTAGCCCTTGTTTCTAAAAAAATAGACTTTGCTGATGCAACCTGCCAGGTAAAAAACGCCATTTATTATTATTAATTTTGTACAATTCCTTCTTAGTGCAATGTACACTCTACCTTTCTGCAGAATTTCAATTTTCTACATTTTGCGGTATCGGTTCTGTACTGATATGTAAGTCAGCCACCGTCCTTTCTAACATACAAAGTTTACACCCCTCTCAGGGAATAAATTTTCAACAATTCATTCTTAGCGTTAACTTACCCTGTATAAAAAACCTCTCTGCAAAATTCCATACATATGTCTGCTTTCAACAGTATTTATTGGCTCTGCGTTGATACTGCAGTTTGTTACTGTTCTCTTTTTAATACCCCCTTGAGGGACCAATTTCCAAAAAATTTTAATAACATATAAACAGTTGAACGCTTTATACAAATCCCACACCCCTACTTCACCCCCTTAGAGCAGGAATTTTGAAAAATCTCTTTTTTTAGTTAACCTATGAGATACTATTTTTTGATTCAACAATACCGACAAAAGTAAGTCGCTAATTCAATAAACTCCTTATTGGTCTATTCTTATTTATTTCTGTGAAATAAGTTTGGTATGTGATATTTGTGGGAAAACACCCGAAATACCTATGATGCGTTTTAATAGAATTAATGTAAATTGCACCATTATTGATCAGCTGCTGTAAGACGCCCGTAATTCCTTTTGTGAATCTGGGAGAAAACAATATTGTTCCTGAAAGAAATCAACCCCTCATATCACGATAGGGAGCGTTATCTTTTCTGTATAAGAATGCATCTGTCATACATTCCCCTCGATCCTTATTCCTTCGATAGGGACACAATGGCCATTGTGGTACGCGCGCCGCTGCCCTGAAGTCGTGTGGCTGAACGGATTTGGACCACGCACTCTCTTGCCCTCTTCTTTTTTCCAGCGATGTTGTCATGATGACGCATCCTAGAAGGCGGGTTGAGGTTCATTTCAATATTTGTCACCGATCAGACTTGTTCATCATCCATCAATAACAAACAAAGAATATAAAGGTCGAATTCTAAACTCTGACGTTGCCGTAAGGCAGAACTTGAATCATGCGCTTGACGTTAAACTGTTTATATAGTCAAAATCACGAAAGATGACTATTACGTCATACCATAAATTGTACTGAAGTAATCAATGGACGTACGTCGATGATAAAATCACGATGTCAGGAACGTAATGACAACAAATTTATATTATGATTTTGTGAAGTTAGGTTATTTTACTGATTATTTTTATTTTCATTTTATTTCATGGCTTTGAGTGATAATGACGTAATAGTCATCTTTCGTGATTTCGACTATAAGCAGGAATTCTGCAACGTTCACCAGCTTGACGGAGTTTTAACTTTCTGCTGTTGTCCCTTCTGATTCAATCAATGAAGGGGAGCCTGCAAATCACGTGTTTGTTGGACATATCAGCTGGCTTTTCCACGTACTCTTCGATCTGCTCGACATGACTTGTTTTGTATTGCTTTTGTAATCGGTGTGGCTTCCTTTGGGATTGTTTGCTATATTTCATTTTGTTTATTTAAGTAATAATATAAATGTGTGTTACAAGTCATGAAGATGCAGCCCCTGATCTGCAGACAAGTTCGGTTTACGTATCGGATGAATAATTAAAAGAATCTTTATGGTCCTCTCATCTCTTAGAAAACTATACACAGCTCGCGTTCATCGATGTCATGGAGCACAAAGTTAAAAAGATCAATATTTCAGGAAATCTTTCTATCTACCTAATGCGTATATTTGAAGTTCAATATATCTCATCGACAATAAGAATATGCACAACAACGACTTGTTCTTCTCCACACCAGTGGCGGAACTATGAAGTATTTTTTGAGCGGTCTATATGATTAATTTGAAATTACGAGCTCAAAAAGCAATGGGGATTTGGGAGGGGCCTAGGATACATGTTTGGGGAGACCGGCGTTTCGAAAGTGAAGGAAGAGCGGGGGAGCGGTCGTCAGGTTATCTCCAAATTGAAAAAGTTTTAATCTCAGATATTTTGGGAGGGGATTGCGGACGCCCAGGAGAACCGTTGGATCTATCCCTAACTCACGTCATTATAGACGATCATTCCATAATCAATAAGCGTTATTTCCAAAATTATTGACTATTACCACAAGTACTATTACCCAAGTACTTTTGATGATTGGTCAGTTACATAGTTAAATCGTGGTACAGCCTCATCCTGAAAAGTTTCAATCCAAGTTCTTGTCTATTAACTACTTCTGCTTGAAACTTAAAGCAACTAACTCGATGTCTACAAAAGTAGGCAAGATTCAAGCAGGTCCATAGCGCTGGTTTTGGCAACGAATCATAATCGATATCTCATAGATTTTATGGCTGACTGGGTAACAGCCTACTGAAGGATTGGAAATTCAGTCAAAGTATAAATTCAAGCAATTTCAATTTTCCTATTTTCTGTATGAAGAATATGAAAATTTTTTGTGTTGTTCCCAAACTATGTTCACTCATAGCTGGCTTGATATTTCTTGTTTAAATATATGATATTTATTTTTGTTCAAATTCTCTAGTATGAAGGAAGAGGGATCAATTTGGCAACGTGGCAAAGCCAAGACAGACTCCTTGAGAACAAGTGGGTCACTTCTTGGAAGACGATGAGTAGAGACTCTCGACCGAGTTTTTTATCTGCTCTCAGCCCTTGAATGGGTCTCGAAAATAGGTCTGTTGCGGTTCGGGATGAATGAGAGCCGATAACAGCAGGTCTTTATAGGGCACACAGGACCGTCTCGATCTGATATTTCCGACACCCACGCATTTCGGTATATAATGACACATTGAAACGGTTGCATCTGTGATGATAATACTGCCATACCATGTTAAATACACAAAGCGAGAAAAGGCCGTCCAAAGTCTAGACCTCTGGTTTCCGTTTCCTTAATGCCCTGAAACTATTATAAATTATTTCATGTTCACTTTGTCATTTATATTTTATTTAGATATAGCAGATAGCCGTATGTACAACTTGATAAACCGATTGGGTGGTATCTGCAACACTTACAGCGAAATTGCCTCAGAATTTAAAATTTAATGCTGGAAATATGTGTACTATGAACGGTTACCACAGCTATAGCTAGTTCATTCAATGAATCAAAGCAATCACGTGATATTTAATAAATTTGAATGCCAACCTTAATGCAAAATATATCCTAAATTGCTACGTATAGTTTGAATTTCCCGGATACATTTATGTTGGTAATAGTTTTCTGTATTGTGACATTGTCGCAAAGCTGTTGTTTATTTGCATTTTTATTAATAAAAACAGTTTTTCTCAAAACTTTGAGGTATGACAAGCAAATGAATTCGTAATTTCTTTGATGAAATATTTTGAGACCGAACGAGATCATGGAGCTCCATTATTGCCTTTACAGTTCGCAAGAGAGGTATTAGGTAGGACATAATTAGTCTCTCTGTTTACCTATCTCATTGTGACTTAACTGCTAAGAACCGTGGAAAAAGCTATTCATCAGGTATTCCTATTATTGCCATTTACAACTTATACACCTTACTCTGTCCATAGCTCGCAATCCGTAGATGTTTATCTTGAACGTCCGTTTGCGCCTGCTCTTGTAGCCTGCATGTCACACTCCTCGCTGCAGCTTGACGAAAAGCTACGAAGACCAGAAAATGGTCTTTTATATTGAAATATCTTGGTAATGTTTGACTTCTGCTAAATCTGTCACTGTTACTGT